CTTCTCCCTGACTTTTCCTACTTGCAGACCCAACAGCTCCCAATGTGGTGGTCACCCGACTCACTCTGGTATGTGACTCTGCTCCAGGACCAATCACTATGGACCTTACAGGTAGGCACAGGCTCTGTCCTTGGTCACAAAGGGGAACAAACCAAGGCCCTGGCATGCTCCAAGTTAAAAGAGAGTTTGTCCATGGGATGCTACAGTGGGTTTTAGAGGAATTCTGAAGTCATCTTAGCTTTGTTTCTTATTTTAATATACACATATGAATAAAAAAGAAGGAGATGTAACAGAGGAAAATATCAAGGGTCTTTTTCTTCATCTAGACTGCTCTGGGAGCTCCTGGGTTTCTCTTGCCATCTCTGCTTGTTTTCTTTCAATGAGACTTCATGAGCACAAGGGATGTGCGTACATTTGGGTAACAGGCTGTACTGAAACTTCAGAACCGAGCAATACTGCAGTTCCGGCTCCTGGGGACGTGGGGAGAAAACCTTATATGGGCTTTTCTGCAGAGAGAGGAAGCTGGGTCTGGAGGGGCAGAGAGGCTTCCTGTTTGCCCAAAACCACACAGCTTTCCAAGCTGGGCAGGAACTGTGAAACACACTCCTCTCACCCAAGCCAGGGCTGGGCGTGGATGGAGCGTACACACACTCCTGCATACGCTCAGCAACCAGTCTGTGCATAAACACCTTTATGTATATGTGCTCATACCTGTGTTTGTTTAGGCATTGTTTGCTGTGGGCACAGACACATACGAACACCCAGGAATTTCTGTGTATTCAGTCTCACGACACAATCCTGCACAGATGTCTGCATAGTCATTTTACAGGTGTCATCCTTTGAAGGGATGCTCACCTCTGACAGCAACCCCACCCCCATCTTCCCCCCTGTGCCTGGTCTCTCCTCGCTGTGACACCTCTAGCTGACAGCTTGATCCTCTCCTTGCAGGTGACCTCGAAGCGCTCAAGAAAGAGACCTTCGTATTAAAGGAAGGGGTGGAATACAGAGTTAAGATCCACTTCAGAGTGAGTTGTTTTCCTGCCAATTGCTTCTTATCAGTGGCTGAGGCCAGTCAGTGGCAGTCTATCAGATAACTAGAGCCAGACAGCACGCGTGCCCAAAAGCTGAACGCTTGCAAAGCTCCCCTAGCTTCAGGTGTTGTTTTACCCAAGGGATGAGGTATTTCCAGGAAATCACTTCTGCTGGCTCACCCCTTGGAGGAAGCTGGTTTCTGTTTGCTCACACTGATAAACATCAAGTGGTTTAAAAGCCAGATGGGTAGTTTTGGCTGAGTTTGGTTTTGCTTTTCAGCCACTGGAAAATCTTTACTTCACACTAAGTGGAAATGAACAGGGAGGAGAAGAGAAGCAAGAATGGCTATTCATGAAATACTGATTCAGTCAGTATTACTGGGCTTCATGTACACATTACATTAAAAAGATGTAGTATTGTAGCATTTGGCTGAAGATACCTGAATTCTTCAGGTCATGATATACCGAAATGGGCTCACTTCTCCCTCACTCCCATTAATCAGTGTGTCAGCCATTTCTTCTGTTTACAGCTGAAAATGAAACTTGGCCACTCTGCAATGTGGCATCCAGCACTGAACTGGTCATCTCTGCCAGTGCTTGCTTCACAGCTAGGCTTGGAAGAGAAGCCAAAAAGGGAAGAAAGATAATTCTCCTGAGACAGACGAGGGAAAGTGTTAATATTGTGGGTTCTGTAGGGCAGATTTCCCTTTTTCTTTGAGGCTTGCTGTGTCAGAGATGAATGTCCCCCAATGCTCTCCCCCAAGACACCTCCAGCTCTCTTGTGCTCTGAAATATTTCCATCTGTATGTGTGCCTTGTTGACCAGAGATACCTGAAGCCAGACAGGTTATTCAAACTCCCTCAGTTCTATTGCTGGTAAGGGCTCGTACTGTGTGAATTCTACCCTGGGATGTAAAAGGATCTGTCCATCCTGTTTTCAGATTGAGTAGTGTCCACTGTGGGAGGGCGGTGTGTGCTGGAGGGGAGCAGCAGTGGATACATCCAAGCTATCCATGGGAGATTTGATAAAATATTATGAAAACTGTCTCTCTGTCTTTTGAGAAGAAACTTGCCAGCTCCCCATGGAGCTTAGAGGGCACCTAAAGCTGCCCACCCATGGGGGCTAAAGGGATGACTAGTTACCCATGTATGGTTTCCAATATTAAAATTATTAAATGGGAACTTCCTGCTTCACTTTTCATTGTCCTCATCAGCATGTCTTGAGAACCTTAGTGATGTGCTCCAGTCAGCTTCAAAGTTGGGCACAGGATGGGGAAGTGCAGGAGATGCACAGAAGATGCTAAAGGTCTCCAGGTACTTTTGGAGAAGTGTTAGGGACCTGTACAATGTGCCCTGTGCTGAGGCTCCCTTCTGTAGGGAGCTAAGATGGGTATGTCCCTGAGGAGGGGGAAAATCATCATGTACAGAACCAAAACTCCTCTCTTGACACTTCTGGTTACTTCCTGCAGGTAAACAGGGACATTGTGTCGGGACTGAAATATGTGCAGCACACCTACCGGACAGGGGTGAAGGGTGAGTAAGAGCCCTGCATGCCCTGCACAGCACTGCTCCTACTGTGTGTTCCATCTTCTCTAAGTGTTCCTGCAGCTCTGGATGGGACAGAGGCTCCCTTGGTCCCGCGTCCCACCCTATGCTAACACTCAGGAGGTGACTTCTCAGCAGACTGCTTCACCCAGGACAGCGGTTTCATGTTTTGTGCCAACTCAATATGAGCCAGCTCTGGTACCTGTATGCTACACCTCTGTCTGCAGCAGCCAGGTCTGCAGAGACTCCACTTAGTGCTTGCCACAGACTGCCTCTCCATACAGAGCACTTCTCCTCTCCACCCCCTGTGCAGTGGCTCAGCCTGTGTGGAGCTTCCCACCCTCTGAAAGTTCCTCAGAAGCACTTGGTAAAATTCAGACCTGCTCTATGAAACTCCCCATTGTGTGCAGGGCCCTGTATTTACCCAAGGGTTCTCCTCAGTTCTGCTCTGCTTGGACAAGGCAGAGGAAAGCCCCATTTTGCAAACACGCACACCCCATGTGCATTTTCATGCAACCATCTCTAAGGCTTCAGCATCCTGTTCAGCACACATAACTGGTGTCTTCTCACCAGTAAAGAGAAGTAGTGGGAAATCAAAGTAGCTCTTGAGCCATACGCTGGTGTACTCACAGCCTTTTAGCAGCCAGAATGTTCAGGTTCCTCCCAAATTTGTCTCAAACTGGGACAATCGTATACATGTGAGGGTATACAAACTGAGTTGCCTGTTCACCTGCCCATCCATCCATGTTATCCTTCCAGCTGTCCTTATGCTTCACTAACCCCTCTTTTCACACTGATTTCTGCTCTCCTTTGCTGACGTGGACTGCTCTTTTCTCCCACATCTCCTTTCTGCTCTTTTCCTCATTGCTTCCTCTCTCCTTTATCATTCCCATCTGAGAGGCTTATTCCCTGTGGATTGTTTTCTCCTAGTGGACAAAGCCACTTTCATGGTTGGCAGCTATGGGCCACGGCCAGAGGAGTACGAGTTCCTGACACCTATTGAAGAGGCTCCTAAGGGTATGCTGGCTCGAGGCACCTATCACAACAAATCCTTCTTCACGGATGACGACAAGCACGACCATCTCACCTGGGAGTGGAACCTGTCCATCAAGAAGGAATGGACAGAATGAGTTCACCCAGTTTGCCTTCCCCCTTCCCATCCCCTTGCCTCCTGCACCAGTCTCCAGGTGGGCCATGCCCACCACTGCTCCTGCCTGCCAGCATGGCTGGCCACAGCCCCGGCAGCCCTTCCCTGGCTGCTGGGGCTCTGTGCCAGCCTCGGTCGATGCACAGCCCTGCAGGTGGCCTTTGCTGCTTCTTCTGATACACTGAAAACAGCCCAGTCGTTCTCACCGCCACCCCATCATGACACCACTTTGGGTTAAATTGGGAAGCATCTCCCTTCCTCTCCCCCAGTACTTCCTCCTGTTGTCCCCATCTGTCCCGTACCAACTCCAGTCCTGGAAGTGCCTTTTCGAGGAAACACGATCACCTGGCAGGGGCTGACTGGTCCCTGGAAAATCCCTATCTTGAGTTACACTTGCCATGTGCTCTGACTCATTGTAAAGGGTTACTTACCTCCCACAATGGTCTCCTGGTCTGTATCTGGTGCCCTACCCTGTTAAAATCCATCCTTGTGCAGGCAAAGCCAGTCAGGGGGAATGCAGCTAGATGCCGTAACAAGACTTCAGTGTCTGAGAATAAAACCAGTTTCTTTCTTCTTTTCTGCATGAGTGTCACATTCTTTTCTAGAGCATGTTTCTCAGTGATGTGTATGTGAAGAATGCATTATAGGAAAAGGCTAAAGAGCATGTTTCAGCAGGGAAATAACCCTCCTCCTTCAAAACATCAGCCTTATTCTATAAGCAAATTACTTCAGAACTATTTCCTTCAGGGATTTCATTAATCCTTTGAAGCCTAAGGCCTGGGCTTGTGATGGGGGTAGACTCCAGGGGTAGACAACCCCCACCTCTCATTCCAGATGGCAACTGAAGGAGCCAGGGAGCTATAACATACCCTTCTCATGTTTAACACTTACTGTAGCAGCTGTTCCCCAGAGCTAATGCAAGAGTTGCATGTCCCCGTGGCTAGCCTGCTGGCCAAGCACAAGGGAGCATCAGCCTCTGGGATCCAGCAGCTGGAGATGGATGTTCTTAACCTGTCTGGGGTGTCTGGTCACAAGGGTGCAGGGCAGCTGCGATGTCAAGTGCTGTGGGTGAGGGCACACCACTGGCAGTGTTGCTGCAGCTCTCCAAGGCTCATTCCTGCACAGCAGGGAGGGGCTTTCTCCAGCCAGGCAGTTATCTCAGGAGCTGAAGGCTTTGACCTGGGCCAGCTGCTCCCTTCCCACCACCCCAGGAGAGGTTGCGGGTCCCCACAGCAGCTGACGTGTCTCTTGCTGAGGGGAGGACTGGAGCAGGGTGGCATGGCGAGGAGAAGGCAAGCTGGTACCATGGGCACATCCATCTTCCCGTGCCTCTTTGCTATCCTGCTTACCAGATGCTCCCCAGCAGGGTGTGCTGGAGGGAGTGACTTGGCATCCCACAGTAAGTGAGCTTTCTTCCTGCCTTGGGGAAAGTCTGGGTCTGCTGCAGGGAGTCCTCCTTATCCAAGGTATGCTGCACAAACATTGCATTGAACTCGCAGGAGAGGTGTGTGGGTGAGCTTGTAAGGTTGGGATGCTTGTGTGTGTGTTGGGGGGCTCCTCTTTGAGCTGCTCCTTGGGTACACTGCCCAACCCTGACCTTTGCTCTGCAGGCACAGCCAGCACCACAGAGAAACCTGTCCTGTTAAACAACGTCGCAGATGCTGAAGCCTTCATCAGCGGTGCAGAAGTAGCAGTCATTGGGCTCTTCCAGGTGTGTTCACAGCACATCCCCTCTGCCAGCTGTGAGCTCTGTCATCCCACCCTGATGAGAACATGAGGCTGGACGTGGTGTAAACACCTGCCAAAGGCAGCTCTTGTCCCAAAAAGGTGCTGGGCCTGTGACAGGAATGTGGAGGGATTCGGTGATGGGTCACAGAGAGAACACAGGGAATTTGGTCTGTGCATGGAAAAGGAGATGAAGCAAGGAAGGAAGATGAAGGAGGTTGTAGAAGCCCTGGAGCAGGAGAGAAGGAAATGCTGCAGGGGAAGTAACAAAGAAATGTGCATGGTAGAGGAACAATGTTGGTGAGGGGTGAGTAGGAACATCAGTTATTTGCTGTAGTCAGCAAAGACAGAGTAAGACACTGCCTATGTGGTAGGGGTGAGGAAGCCAAGTCTCAGGGAGAAGTGATAGTGCAGGTCCGCTGAAGTCCAACAGGGTTTGGGCTCAGGCTGCAGCCTCTTGGTAGGGAGAATGTAGGCATGGTCTCTGTCTCACTTCTTTGTTCCCCAGAGCAGACATCCTCGGGATCTGTCTCTTTTTACTAAATTCCACTGTATTCAAAGGTGAGTGACAGATCTGAGTCCTTTGCCTCCCCAAATAGCAGGAGTATTTTTCCTTAGAAAATAGAAGGAAAATATTTATTGAGCTACAGCACTGTAAAATGGAGGCTTCTTTAACAGGATCCTTATTACTTTTAAGGTCCCCAAATTGCACCTTTTCCCATGTTTTCTTTGAGCTCTGTTCTGCTCTCCTGCTGCCCACGCACTGCCTCATGTCAGAGAAGGCTTCAGAGCTTTCAAAAACAGGTCCTTCTGCAAGCATCCTCCTTCTGCCCTGTGCCTGGGGCTGGAGGGCAGCCTAGGGAGGGCATCATGCTCTTGGTATAGAGAGGCACCCCACAGCCCACCAGAGTGAAGAGCGATGGTGCTGCCTGTGCAGTGCGGGCAGCAACAAGTCTGTGAGCGCAGGAGGCTTATGCCCCAGGGACCTTGTAAGCACTGATCACAGAGCACCAGCCGCCTCCGGCTCGGCGCCTGCAGGCAGCTGGAGCTCCTCGGGGCTTGCTCTTGCAGCGCTGAAGCTGTGCAAAGCAGCCAGGCAATCTGCACAGGCAGAATGGAAGTGCCGAGACGCCTCCTTCCCCGAGGGGAGCTGGCTGGGCTTGAGGCAGAGCTGTACCCGGAGCCTCCTCCTGAGCTGCGGCAGGGACACGGCTCCTTTTGTCTTGTGCCACGGTCACCTCCCTCCGCAGGATCGCATTCTTCAGAGCCAGACAGGACTCTGAAATCCCAGCTGCCGGCAGCACGAGGCAGCAGCCAGCGACATCTCGGGCATTCAGTGCCTGAGGCACGACAGGGCTGCATTTGAACGGTAGATAAAGACGTATATGTGCCATGAAGGCTTGGCTCTCGGCCTGAAAGTATATTCATCCAAATAAAGTCCACGTTCTCCGCTCGCCATCAATTATTTCTCTGCCGCAGCCTTTCAGTTCAGTGCAGTACGTGGCTCGGCAAACCTCCCGTGTAACGAGCACGGCCTCCCTGACCGGGAGCAGCACGCCGTGATGGAAACCTCGCACTGCTCCACAAACCCCGCGTGTCGCTGGGAAAGGGCTCGGCCTGATTAAACCCCAGGTTTCCCAGGAATGCTCCAAAACTCAGCGAGATTATTCCCACCCTAGGCTTTAGAGTTCTCAACAGAGCAATGTTGATGCATTGGCATTTCCAAAACAGGTCATGAGACGTTTTTCTTTGGAAGGAACAAAGAATTTTGTTTTCCATTCTCTCTGGGCTCACAAACAGCTGAGCTGACAGTTCAAACTAAAAAGAAAACAAACCGATTTCCAAACAGAGACCATGTCTTGAGAATTTATATCCAATAAATAGAAGCATCAAAAATACATCACTGAAAAGTGGGGAATGGGAGTAGCAAGGAAGGCTTTAATACAGGCAAAGGCTAGTAGTAGTTAATACTCTGCAGGAAAGAGAATGGGCCTCAAAATATTGAGAAATTGCGCATTTTTATCCTTTAATACACCTAAATGAGCTCCTTTTTTACAGGACGTACATGTCCTTTTAAATGGAGCCACGGTACTGATAATGCAAGGTGTTCAAAACTGTAACCCCCTGACTCTAGAACCAAGGTGGGCTTAAAAATTGTGACGTTTATATATAGATTTTAAAAACACACTTATACATACACGCACATATATATATATATATTTATAAACATATTTATAAATATAAATATACACACACATATATGAGCATACATACATATACATATATACATATACATACACACACACACACAAATATATATATATATATATATATATATATGTATAAACGTGCTACACCAGTGTTCTGTGTTTGTTCCCTCCATTTTGAGTGCCCAGGGGTTCAGCACCATCCTGGCGGGTTCCTGGATCCCGGAGCATCCCGCCCGCCCAGGGGGTGCCGCGGGGACCGAGCAGCCGGCAGGTGGCGCGCTCGCACCGGCCGGTGCCGGTGCCGGTGCCGGTGCCGGTGCCGGTGCCGGTGCCGGTGCCGGTGCCGGTGCGGCCCCAGGGGCCCCGTTCTGTCTCAACCCCTCATCCGCTCGGCCCCTGACCCTCCCTCCTGTGCCTCCGCAGGACCCGCGGAGCCCCGAAGCGGACGTGTTTCGCCGGGCGGCCGGAGAGATGCCGGAGGTGTCCTTCGGGCTCAGCAGCAGCGCCGCCGTCCTGTCGCACTACGGCGCCTCGGAGAACACCGTGGCGCTGTTCCGCAGGGTACGTGGGCCCGCGGCTCCCTCCCGGGAACGCTGCCGGGCAAAAACCCGCGTGTCCCGCATAAGGGTCTGGTTCCGGCTCCCCCAGCGCGCTGGTCTGGATGGGACACACCGGGAGGAGTGAGTACAGCGGTAAAAAGCATAAAAGTTATCTCTCCTTAGGGCAAGCCAAAAAATAGGGTTGTCATTGGCAGTCAGGCTGCTTGCCCACCTCAAAGTACGTCGCTCTTCCCGCCCCAAAGAGGGGTTTCGCTTTTCAATTGCAGAGTGCCTGTCGCTGAGACAAGGAGCATTAATTATATCTGGTAAGATTCTCCTATTTAGGTGTTTGTCCTACGGATCTGGTTCAGCATTTTGCTCTGCAAAGAGCAGTACCTGTGTTTCTACATGACCTTCCCGGAGCTTGGCATGAACTTGGATGGGGTTTCTGTGGTTTTGGAAAGGGTCCTGAGACACATGAAAAGCGTCTAGAGCCCACGTTACAATGGATCAACACAGCAGGCTTGATATCAAAACTTGGCAAGTGTCACTTCAGGCAGGCAAAGCTGTCTCCTAGGGTACAAAACTTTTCCATCATGACAGGAAACAGATCCAGACTAGGTCTCTGCAGTTAAGAGATGCTGTGCCACCCTACACTGTGGTTTGAAGACTCATTTCCTAAATATACTTTAGGCATTAGAAATCTTGCTTTGGAGCTTCTTAGGGATGGATGCTGTGCTAGGTTAGATCTCTGTTGACTCTAAGTGCAGGCAGCTCAATGTAGCCTCAGTGTAGCTATATCTGCTGAAATTTAGGGAGATGATACTGGGGAGAGCCATGTACTTGTTGCAAAAGTACCAAGAAAAGCTCAGAGCAAGTATTCTACTAGTTACATCAATTTTCCCATGTTGCCCCTCCTCACACAAGTATGGCAGCTGAAAACTGCAGAGGTAGGTGTGTCTGAAGAGGATCAGGGCCCCAGGCAGCACAAGATGTCCTAAAAGCCAGTGAAGTGTTGTGACACCAGACGTCTAAGTGCTTGAGGTGGGGAGAAATGGATATCATGGTCTAGGGAAACTAAATATGGCAGCTTGGCCAAGTTCTAGATCCTGCTTGTACAAAGATTGGACAGTTTGTTCTCTTTTTTCCCCTCATCATTTCCTGCACCATGTTTACCACTGATATTATCCAAATAATTAAAAAAGAATGATCTAAGAATGAGCAATAGGTAGGCAGGTCCTTTTATTTAACCTTTTATTTGCTAGATGTTGCAATTTTAAGCAACACCCATTTCAATTTTTGTTCTTAGTCACTGTGGTTTTCTTCCAAAAATATTGAAAAGTTCCTTTGTTTTTGCACTGTGGCAGATAGTGAGGATGACTGCAGTGGGAGACAGTTTGATAAAAGAAAGTGTTTGGATTGTTGGAATTTGTATTATATTGAATATTCTTTGTTCAGAGCCAAGTTTTTGCAACTGAACTCTTGTTTAATATGGGGAAAAAAACAGCCAGGAAAATAATACACTAGTCAGGTTCAAATATGGTTGACAATTCCCTCGTCTGATTGTCAGTTTTTCTTAAAACACATTTTCTTAAAACACATATTATCAGACACATTATTTTTCCTTTTATCCAGTGCTGAATAATATGTAGGAGTAAGAGGTCAGAGATAAAAAGGAATTTTAAAAGAACGGATACAGGAACTTGGAATCAAATACTCATTTGAAGGATACAAAGATGTGTCACCAGGATAGAAGTGAATCAGAGGCATAAATTAATTTTCTCTTTGCCTTTGCAGTGTATGAAACACAATGCTTAGAAGTTTAAGCCATAATTACAGTAGTAGGAGGGACTGTGTCAACTGGTGAGACTTCTTTGTATATATGGGAAAGAAGCTGATTTTTTTCTAGTAACAAATCCTGATAGACCTAAAAACAACATAATTAACAGATGCTAACAACCTAATTATATGGAGTGATAAAGACATTTTGACTAGAGCTTCAACTATTAAATGCAGACTATTTTTCAGCCTTATTTTCTTAAAAACATAAATGTTGAGTGCAGATTCAAGTTGTTATTATCCCCAAATGGAAATCAGATGCTTCCAGAAGCCCACGAAAGTCAAGAGAAGACTTTCTGTAGAGTCCAGGCTGCTTTAGATTGGTTCTCAAGGCCTGTCTGATCTCACCCACCCAGGTGTTGAACTGTCCTGATCTTATTTACTTGAGCAGAGCTGCCCTTTCATGTTATGCAGGAAGAAAACCTGTGAGAGGAATTGGGCCACACAGTCTGAAAATCACCAGCTTGTGTTGTCAGACAGGGCGGGTGACTGGTATCAAAGACCTTGCCAATGACCACAGAACAGCAAAAATGACTTTAGATGTCTGCACACCACTGGAAAAACTAACACAAGAACTTTCAGAGGTTGCCCAGCCGCAGAGAATAAAATCTGGGGTGTGCAGGTGGACTGCTCTTCAGCCCCAAGAACCTCATTCAACATGTATATCAATAGCTTTCAAATCCCAGACTTTGATTCTACTTCATGTCAGAGACCACTGTCCCCATGGTTTAACTCAGTCACATCCTGTGGTGGTACTGCACAGGAACTCTGCCCTTAAACTCTGTTGTACTGCTATCATTCAGTGGTTGCCTGCTTTTTTTCTGTTTATCAGGTCATGAAAATCTCAAAAAAATCGCATCATTTTGAGGGGATGAAGTGTGGGGAGATGTGTGGCAGGATGGATTTTCCTCTAAAGCTGAAATATGCTGGACTTAATTTTTTTTTCTTTTTTCTTTTTCTTTTTTTTTTTTTTTTTCCTTTCCTGCTGTACTGGAAGAAAAATCCTCTTTTTATTAGAGAGATTTCCTGCTTGCACAATGTTTCCAGGAATTCCATACTGGGTGATGCCAATGTTTATTACTCGTAGAAGAAACAGAATAAACAGATGAAGATTTTAAAAAGGGACGTAAAGCCAGTATTGATGTGAGGAGTTAGACTATTTAATGACTTCTCTCCACAATGCTTAGAACAGTTTGTCAGCTAATTCTCCCTGTCTCCAGTGCATTGAGAGCTGGTAGTGTGGGGATGTCTGGAGTCCTGAGAGATTTCTGCTATATCATGAGATTTTCTTGTCCTTGGGAGGCTGGAGAAGGATGGGAGATCCTTATCTCAAAGTGCAGGCTGGTCCCTGCAGGTTCTAGACCTCCAGAAGTGGTGATGGGAAGAGGTGGGGGTTGTGTAGTGCAGGACAGAGGATGGTGGTGTCCCAGGGGGTGGGTGTCTCTGTGAGTGAGTGCAATCAGCACCTCTGGAGGAGCTCCTGGAGAGGACAGCTGTGACTGTAGGTGTCCTTGCCTGTCTTCAGGTGGACAATGACCGGCGGGATCTGGACATGAACAACGGAGATGTTGATGCCAAGAAGCTGACTCGCTTCGTTCGGATGAACGAGCTCCGTCTGGTGACAGAGTACAACCCTGTGGTAATTACCAGCTCCCTGCAGTCCTCACCCTTGTGCTTGGCCTTCCTCTCATGGTATCCTCTGGCCCCAGTTTGCATGCCCAGATGTGTGTGAGGGTTGCAGCGACAGTGTAGATGGGGTTGAGGAAGCCACATAGCTCTTCACTGCTGCTCCACACAAGCAGATTTGCTGGGGCATGAGTGTGGTGGGAGACAAAGAAACTCATCATAGTTTGGTTTTCCAGTAAATTTGGGATGTTGAGGGGCAGAAAACTCCACTTCTTACTACTCTGCACGCAGTGCTGCTTCTTCCCATGGACATTGGCCGTACTGTGCCATGCCTGCAGAGCCAGCTCAGCCAGAATGCCCTCTCTTTGACAAGCCTTGAGAAACATGGAAGCTCAAATGACCTGCTCTCAGAAAGCAGGCTTTTCTGCATCACTCAGCACACAGGGCTCGATGTAAGCCCTGATATTGGAATGCATATTCAAGAGCAAGTTGGGAACTTCCCAAGCAAAATCTTTCCCATCCCTTCCATCCTTTCTCCAGAATTTGTCAGTTCAACGACAACCGCCACCACCAAAACAAACAAACAAACAAACAAACCACACACAAAATCAGGCTTAGAATGCTTCCATGTGGGCCATCTTCACTGGCTCACCCATCTAACTGGCAGGGTCCCAGTGCTCCTCCCTGCTATAGAGGTTGACCAAGGATTTAGGTTCCTCTGAAATCCCAGCACTTCCCTGGTCTCATTGCTATGGAGTCAGTAGGTCTTAGAAGACACAATTGCTGCATGGCTGAGACTTTATCATTGCTGATGGGGTATTTTGTGGCCTTCTGGACAGCTATAACAGTGCTGACCAGGCTCAGTTTATATCAGAGAATGGCCCAACCTGCAGAGCTATACCTTTTCAATATAAACTCAACGGTCACCTAAGAGAACAGATGCACTCAGTCAGTTCAGTCACAACCCACCAGTAGGAGAGTATTTTGTTTAGAAATTTAACATTTTTTCCCCCACAATGAAATATGGTAGGAGGTTGTTCTTTTTTCTGTAACCAAAAAAAGGAAAAAAAAAATTTTGTTTTTTCATCTTCAAAAGGGAAAAATACATTTTGAATTCACAAAATATTTCTGGAGATTGCTATATCCTGCCCCACTGGCCTAACAGCCCTTTAAGAACATCCAAGTCACATCAGCAGGGATGTTCTCATCTTTGTAATTTCCCAGACCTTCTGAAACCTTGGAGCCCCTATTAGATCCTTTTGCATTTCATGGGACAATATCTCTTTGTTTAGGCATTTCTGTTGATGCTTTGGGTTCTCACTGCATGGTGTCCTGTGTGGCACCCAGGCTGTGTCTCTCACTGAGAAATCCTCAGCTGTTCAGCTGGTCCCCTCCACCCTGACTGTCAGTACAGATGCTACAGTTTTTTTTCCCAGGCGCTCTGGAGCTCTATCAAGGTGCTGAAATTAACAGTGCCTCCTGCAGTCCCTGGCCCAAAACCCTCCCAGATTCCCTAAGGTAGCTTGGTTTTTCATAAATATTTATTCCCAGCGCATATGCTGTTTGCATCCAAAAATGCTGCAGGTCAGAAGATAATGGGATCACATGTCTCACACTAAGTGCTGCCAAGAGTTTCTCTCCCCATCCTGGGGCCCTTACCGTTTCTCCCACATACTTTAGGAATTTTTAGGCAATGTTTACCCTGTGGGCTTTTCAGGAGAGTCAGATGTGATCCAGCCCTGCTGATGCACTCTGCTGATTGCTCTTACACAAGGCTGTGTGGACAAGCACACCTTTGTGTGGAGTTGCTGGAGGCACTGCTGCTCCCGCTGTGTCCGCTCTCACCCCAGCCTTGTCAAGGGGCTCGGTACTGGCTGGCTTCACCCTCTCCTTCAGCCTCATTCTCTCCCATGAGATCCTCTAATGTTTTCCAGCTTAGCTTGCAACCCCTCTGCTGTCCCTTGCCTCAGCTGCACACTGTCAGAAAAGAGAAGAGATGCAAAATATCTGATAAACATGAAGCAAACAGTAGAGTCCTGTCTGCCAAGAGCTAGATGCTCTGTTATTCACAGCTCTTGCCAGCATGCACTCCCTGACCCCTTCCTTGTTACTGCTGGAGCATGTGGAAACTTTCTGCTCCCACTGGCGGGGAGTGGCACAGTGCGTGCCTCTGTGGTTTCGGTGGCACTAGGGAGGCAGCAGGTCTGGCCCCACTACTGTTTAATTTGAGGGAGAGGCTGCAGGCCTGCAGGAAGCAGGCGGAAGGAGCAGCGAGATGGCGAGTGAGCGAGTTCATGGAGATGGTGCCGTGGCTCCCTGGGCAGTGCCAGCCCTGGTTCCTCGCAGAGGGCCAGTGTGTAGTGCCCCCTTGGCCCTTGCCCATGGTCTTCTCTCACTGTGGGACAGCAGAACCAATTTTAACCCTCAGCACTCAGGAGTGTCCAGGCCATCAGGTTGCTGAAACTGTGGACTCATCCCCATCCTACATACAGTGTAACACTAAAGAAAGAAAATAAGGACAAGCACCAACCTTGACAGCACAAATCCTTTGCACTTTCATGCTCATATTTCAGACAGATGCTGGACCTCAGTGACTTAGGACACCCTTATATTCAGTGTTTGCTGGCCTTGCTCTTCACATCCTTGCTCTAGTCTTCATCTTCCTGTACTCTGCCCTAATCCTACTCCCCTTGCCTAGTCACTAACTATCTTAAGGCCATTGATGGACCTTTGTAGTCTTCAGACTCTTGTCTGGGGAATAAGAAAAGCCAGGAGGCTAAGAGTTTCTGCAAAGAACCCCGATTGGATCCCCCCTGCTTTAAAGAAATCTGTCTCGCTTGTGATGCTGATTTGCAAAGAAACCACAGCTGAGCCATGTGGATTTACATCCCTCTGACACTGCATCCAATGCCAATTGAGTGTTCTCAATCTCCTTTACTGTGTTTCTCTCTCTGTGCTGGGCAGACAGCAATAGGTGTGATGCAGAGTTCCTTCCAGTTTAACCTCCTCCTGATCACGGACAAGATGTCTCCAAAGCACCCTGAGCGAATGCGCAAGTTTCGGGCGGCGGCAGAGCTCTACAAGGGGAAGGTAAGTCCAGACAGAGAGAAAGAGGGGCTGTTAGGGAGGAAAAAACCCCAGTCATTTCTGCCGTGAATGGGGAGGGCATAATCTCCTCTGTGAATTATGAGATCAAAGGTCCAGTAGCAGGAAAAGAGGGCTTATCTGGATAATTAAATGAAAGGGTTGATTCTGTTCACCTTTTGCCAGTTTGCCACCTGACAGGAGAAATACCCTCTGAGTCCTGCCCGTCTGCTCTCTTGGTGAAACATGGTGTGCTTTGTTGCTTTTAGTCCAGTCTTGTTCCTTTGTACTGAGAGATGACACACAGCTGCTGCTCTTCAGTCTGGCAACAGCTGTGCTCCACTGATGTGAGAGGTGAATTTGTATCTACAGCCTGCAGGATGACAAGGAATCTTATATAAGTGACCAGACAGAAAATAATGTCAGTGCTTCTTAGCCCTTTGACTTCTGGAAATGGCTATTTTAAAGGAGCTGCAAATTTACTGCTTAGATTTCCCACATTAAGATGATGAGATAGATGAGGTGCTTCAGAGAAATTTTGCCTGAATCCCATCCCTCTGGGAACAGAGCTCCCCAAATAGTAAATCATGCTATGTCTGCTTCTCTGCCAGCAGCTGGATTACAGTGGAACTTTTGTCCGAGGAACAGAGGAATGAACTTGCAAGCAAAGGAGGATTGGGAGCAACAGGAAGGCATTTGTGGCAAGGAAGAGCAGCAAATGGGAGGGGGTAGAATATCACAGAAGTGGGAAGGATGAGCTGAGAGGCATAAGGAGGTCTTCCTCTGAGAAGCGTGGAGCTGGAAAGATTTGGGAACTGATAACTAAAATATCTATATGCATCTTTTGCATATTGAAGGTTTTGGTATTGAAGGAATAGATTAGAAATCAAGTATACCCTCACCTTCCAATTCAGGGACCACCTCAGAACCATGCAATCTCAAAAATCTTGAGACTTGCTTATGGCAGGACTACTTTGGAACCTTTACATCTTTCCTAACCAGTGGCAAGAGAATAGGCAGGAACTATGCATCAAAATCAAAAGGTCTCTTCAAAAATGTTTTCCTTTGATGAATATGTAGTTATAAAACAAGATGCATTTATCTGTAAAATTCCATTTGTCTGTTGTGAGATGTGTGTTAAAGTGACACCATTACCACTGTTCTCCATGAGAAGCCGAGTCTGATACAGGTCTCCACCTAGCAGCTATTTCTTCTAACACAATGCTGTTTGGCATCACTATCCTTTGCTGATGCAGCTGCATCCAGTTTTCATGTGACTTGCCTAGACCTGAGAAAATGGCTATAATTTTCCTAGAAATACATCACAAAACATTGGATAAAATGTTTTACTGAAGTTCAGACAATTTATGAATTCTCAGCAAGCCAAATCTCGTTGTTTTTTTTTTTTTTATTTGTGCAGGCAAGTTTCCAACCGAATCAGTCTACAAGTTTGCCAGAGTAAAATATAAACATTAAAGATGTGGGAATTTGACTAATTATTTCCACTTTACTGCTGTGGTACTTGAGGACATAGAGATGAAGTGACTCAGAGTTGAACAAGTTGCTTTTCCCAAAGGAGTGGCACTCTGAGGAGTAAATTGTGTTTTGGACTGCCCTCCTAGAAAGCAGAGAGACAGTGCTAGGGTCCCTCTGTTTGAATTTTAGAAGTATCTGGATGGTAAGGAGTAAAGAGAGTGATATGCCCACATAGGTTTATCTTCATTCCTGTGTCGTGTAGAAAGACCTGAATTAGTTTGGGTATCAGTAGCAGCCACTGCACAATACCATGAAAATCCTTACTGGCTAATATTCCTGTGTGAAGTTACGTGTTGTTGGAACTACCAAGTTAATTGAGGTTTGCTTCAAAATAAGTATAAATTAATTATTTTTTTTTTGTCTTTTAGTGGCTTGCAGATTGTCTGAGAATAAATGCAAGATTCTTGACTTGAATTTTGTTCAGGATTACCAGTGAATAATTCCTGTCCTGTGGGATAGTGGTGAAGGGCTTGTCTGTGCTAAAGGGGTTGGTGCTATCAGTGGTTTGAGCAAGGAAGAGTTGCTGTGCAGTGCAGAGATGTTCAGGCTCCCTGTGAGCACGTACCACTGCATCCAACACTGTTTCACAGTGACTGCAGAGCCCCAGAACAGAGTGGGGATACTTGGTGTGTGTTGCAGCATTTCTATAAGCCAGTGCAGAGCACAGACAGAGCCTCAAAGGGGGTCCCAAGCAGGAGAAGGGGTACCGATCCTGCCACACATCTCTGCTGCACGCTGATGGAAGAGTCGTCCTTGCCATTGTCATCACATTGTCCATCATGGGAGGGAAAAGAGAAACTTATTACCTGGATGGAGAGATGAAGAGGAACTGCAGCTGCTGCTGAGAGACTAACCCCAAAGAGTGAAGAAAAACCATAGAATTGTGAAATAACTTAGGTTGGAAAACACGCCTAAGATGATTGAATCTAACTGTTAATGGATCATGAGGAAGTGATTCACCTGCCAGTTTCTGGATTGTGGTCCTTTCACCTCTGGTTTATGATAATTTCACTTCTGCCTGAGGGGCAGCTGAGATTTTCAGCTGGAGGATCCATGAGGTAGGATGGTGATGATTTTTGTTTGAAAACAGTCTGAACTGCACGCAGAGCAATAGTGAGTGCCTGGAGGCATCTAGATTTTTCTAGATTTTATTGTGGAGCCTGAGTGCTATAAAATATTGGAAAGGAAAATGCAAATGGTAGATGATGCTAAGCCAGCAGAAGCTGACAACAATAAGAAGAAATATAGTCATTTTCTAGCACACTTTGAGAAACAATTGTGGGTGGATAACAGTGAAACAGGTTTAGAGCACTGCAGCTGCAAGAGTAAATCCACCCGCCTTCTTGGATCTTCAATCAAATATGTGCTTATTTGAGAAAGTACTGCCAAGAGTCCAGGCAAGGAAAGAAATGCACTGGAAAGGACATGTCAGGGTTTTCATTGCTGAGCCAAACTAGAATAGTCATACTCAGTTTTCTTTCCACAGTATCAGAATATAACATTATAATTACAGCTGGTGTAACTCATGGGTGTTTGCAGAAGTCTCAATAAGATGATGTTTGGAATAACAAAAGCAGATTTTGTTGCAGCTGACATAATTTGTTTCCAATGTCAAAGTGATTTGGGTAGGGATGCTTGTGAACTCCCTTTTTAGATGTAGGTCCATTTGGAAATGGATTCTGAGAAACTCCTGGTGTCCTTCAGGAGTTCTTCCATGGAAATGAAAAGATGATGCCCTTTCTCTTGCAGTCATTCCCACAATTTTTATTCTTCTTGTCAGATACTGATGGCTTCAGAACTAAAAGAGATGATATTTAGAGATGCCTCTTTTAGCCATAAACAAAGGAGCCTGTAAATATGGTATTTTTATGTCACTTAATAGATATCTGCAGTAAAGTTGTTTTTATAGCTGTCTTTTTTTTTTTTAATTTGTGACTGATGTTTTTGTTTTACTTTAATGTACTATGATGTAAGACATTACTCAAACATCAGAATCTGATCTTTTTGCTTATGCAAAACAGTGAACTGCAGCTCTCTGAAGTTCTAAGTCAAAACTGGATATAAGGCTTGACCATCCTTTCTGTTTTTCTTTGTCTGAAGAAAAACTAAGCAATGACAAATTGGTTTGTATCATTGCTATTTTAAATTAACTTTAATTTCTTGGGCAATAACATCATTCCATGTCTTAGTATCTACCAGGAACTCGATGTTCTAAAAGAACTGGGCTAGGAATCAGTTTGTCAAGACACCAAGACAGTACCAGTGTGCAAAATTTATGGAAGGTGGTTTATTGCAAGTGACAGTGCACAGGTAATATCACGTGTGAAGGGGACATTTTGTGTCAGGGGTTACTCATTCATGCAGGATTTCCTTCACTGCCTGAAGAAGCAGATCTCTGAACACAGGCTAGAAGATTGCTACAAAATGAAAAAAAAATCATGGAAATAATCTCAGAATTTAAAACACCCAACCAGCTGTTGTACAGGCTAGTATGAAACGGAAAGTGAACTTTCTGTTTGGGATGGAACTAACTCATCTCTAGTGGTGACATTAGAGCTGCCATTATAAGTGTGATTTGTTTTTGATGAACTGTAGCTTTGGTAGGTCATCTGAGTAAAGGTTTTATGCTCTTTTCAATGATGAAAGAGAAGGACAGGCATATGTTTCCTTCCCTTCTAAAATAGGTGGAATAAAATGCCTGTCACTGTTTATTGTAGAGGTTACATAGATGACTGGCTGAGACAAGGCTAGGATCTGGATGACAGAGGTTAGGCAATGTGAATCCTGCCTCACGGTCAATATAATTTTCCATGGTTACTGCATTCATCCTTTATGATTGGAGCTGACTGAGAATCTCAGTACAAAATAAATTCCTCATGAGAAAACACCAGTTCCATGAGATGGCATCTATCATGGAAACGTGCCAACTGAGAAACCGTCTTGGTTTTCAGTTGCTATGGAGATCAGCCTTCCAGTGCTTGTGGTCTCTGGGCCAACACATCCTACCTTCTTCCCCACAGGTGTGACCTTGAGACCACACAGGCCCTGGCAGGACTCCTGGAGCACAACCAGCATAGGGTGCATGGTGAGCCCTTCTTCTGAAGGAGGACCCATCCCATGTCACAGACCTCCCAGGAATGCATCATTCTCATTGGCATTAAGGTGTCTTCTTCTGAGCTATGGTGGCCAAATGCAATTGCTCTCTTTCCTGTATGTTTTGAACACAGGCAGAGAAGGAAACTTTACTGTACTTTGGCACACTGTAACTCTGTGAGCCAAATGGGAGTCATTAGAGAGATCCAAGTCAGTAACTCTGAACCATGATGATATCTCAGCCTTTCTAGCTGAGGGGCCAGTTTGTGTGTTTCTGTTTGCTCCTGTGAGGAAGAAGGCATTTGGTGTTCTAAACCTCAGCCTTTTTACTCTTTTATTCTTACTCTGTTCTTGGTATTTGTGGATAAAATATGTACAGCTTTTTAGTTCTGTGTGTTTTAGGAAAGTCTGGAAGCTTGATGAAGTGAAGAATATTGACTAACATTTATTCATTTTACTATTTTTAAATGCTTTTCATCTGTTCTAAAGGTGGTGGAGATTTTGTACAGGAAGTAATGAAACACTTTTTTAAAAAAATTTATTTTAATGACTTCTTCTTTAACATTTGCTTAAAAAAATATTTTTGTCTAGTCAATCTCTTATAGAGAAACCCAAAAGCTGTTGAACTCACTATGAAAATGCAGTACCATTTACTGTACTGACACGCTGAAAGTGTTTCCCTCCAACACCGGCCTCTGTTCCCAACTTTCTAGTTGAAAAGAGAGCCCTAAAACATTACATACTGCTGTTCCATCTGAAAGCCTCTTAGATCATGTCCCTAGACCTGTGAACCTTAAATATGTGTTTTCTAGCTTGGTGTTTTATCCTGCAAAAAGATGAATTAGACACTCTAGGAGAAGTACCCCACAACCTCTCTGCTCACTAGCTTTTTGCTCTTGGGGCACAGACTTTTGAAAGAAATATTACGACTGGTTAATGTCACATATGCAGTGAAAGTGCTGTTTCTGTTTCTGTATTTCACTATAAAACTGAAGTTAAACCTTACAGCTGCCTAACTATCCCTCCTTCCCATAGGCTGTTGCCTAGGAAAGTTTTCAGATATATTTGTTTTTTATAGAATGTAAATTTAATAAGTAAAGAATTTAGGATTTATGAAGTTTATTTTTAGAGAAGAAAACTATTTTGGAACTAACTGGAGTGTTCTTCATTGAAAAGAAAGCAAAACATGAGTCACAGCCTGGGAACTGGGCACATAATCTTCATATTACATTTCTTCTTTTTTTTAAAAAACTCTTTTCTTGTTTAAGTGAAGCCATAGCCTTGTCCATAGGTACATTGGATATGCTAGGCCCAGCAGATTGCATAGGGTAAAAAGAATGTAAAATGACAAATGCTAGCTGGGTGTTTATTTCATTGACTTGGATCTCATCTGCTGAGGGATTCTATTTAATCAAGTCACTGATTAAATTGTTTAACTGCTATATATTTATTTTCTTTTATAAATTTTATAATAATGTCCGTAGGTCATTCTCATCCTGGGATATGCATGTGGAGCTTCTCTCCCCAGGCCTGAATGCTCCACTGAACTGGGCTATATGGACATGGGTGTCTTGCCAACAACTTCTGTTTCCCAAATCATTGCATCCTCATTTGTGCTCACTGCAGCTCACTTCTATACATCCTTTGGTTTTGGTACTCCCGTGTTCTTATCCCTGCAGGCTCCTGATGCCCTGTATTTCCTTCCCACATTCTTGAAATTGAATTTGATTCTTCCCACACCAAAACCCCTTTTTACCCTGGCTCTTGCATGGATGTGAGCATCTTATCCAAATAACATGCAAGTAAAAGATTCAGCTTCTTTGACATTTGCTGTTAAGACAAAAGACATGTTGTGTCCTAATCTATAAGGAGAATAGAAGTGGAGACTGCCTTCCTGTCATTCTGTAGGTATGTTTTTAAAAAAGGTGAGAGAAGACATTTTGTTTGGTAGTGTAAGTTTGGACTTGATAAAATACAGTCAAATGCACTGCATGGAGCTGCTAGATAGTGGCCAAGGAAAGTGTTGTCCTAACAGAGTATGGATGGTTTTCTCAAACTCTTTATAAAAATATCACTGTTAATCTTCAAATGACCACTGTTTGGGGATCTGTTCTCTGTCCCAGCTTCTGTTTTTCTCACGTTTTATTTCCTATTTCTATCACAGATTCTCTTTATCCTGTTAGACAGCAATTTGAAGAGCAATGAGCGAGTATTGTCACACTTCCAGCTGAAGAAGTCCCAGCTGCCAGCTCTGGCTATATTCCACATACCAGATGATGAGCACGATCTGTTGACTGTGGATGAAATCTCCATTGAGCGTGTACAGGACTTCTGTAATCGTTTCCAACAAAGAATACAAAAGGTAAAGGGGGTCCTGATGCAGTTGTTTACCAGGCTCTTGAAGATGACTTCAGTTCCTTGAACTCCTCCCCATCCCCATTACTTTCTCTTTCACGTACATTTCCACCTGAATAACAGAGAAGCGTTAGATTTAGGGCAGAGCAGAGATGGATGTCTTTGCAGCGCCTCTTTCTTCATTGACCTCTGCCTTCTAGTCTACAGCAAGAAGAATTCACTGATCTCTGCAGCTGTATGAAGGTCTCTGTGAAGTATCTATTTTTTGGGAATAGCATCTAGGGGGACAAAGTGAAAGGTGTTTTTGGATGCTGAGAAGGGATGTGGTGGATGGCAGCATATGAGAGCAGGTCAGAGAGACAGTGGCATGGATAGGAATTAAATCTATCAGGAAGACTACAGAATAGAGTGTACAGATAGGGTCTTAGGACTCTACCAGAGGTCTCTTCTGGGAAAGGCACAATTAAATCTCCATGTTCATTCAGTGTGAAAAGTTCTCTCTGTCAAAATTCATCCTCCTGTTGCACAGGGAGGCATTTATTTTGTTTTCTTTATCCCTATGCTGAGAAACCAAGTAATGTCAAAACTTATTTCATGCCTCTAATGTGTTTTAGAAAGAAGACAAATCCGAGGAGAAGCCCCTCAATGAAGAACTCTGATTCTCAGCCAAGAGGATGACTGTAGCCAGTGTCTGTTTCTGGTGTATGAAGAGTTCACTCTGCCCTGCAGCTCAGCACTTCCTGAGCCAAGTCAGTCATGGATTCCAATCATCATTCTATGTACATACATGCTGTCTATCCTCTCCAGGAATCTCTTATCTCTTCTCATTTGTTTGCTCCAGATCTCTTTTTTGCAGTACTGCAGGACCTCTGGTATTGCCTCTTCAATATGTCTTTCTGTGCCACTCTGTTGCAGCAAAGGGTGGCTTCAACACCTCTGATATTAGTGAAATGTCAATAGTGAAATGGCAACATCAGAGGCAGAGCTAGTAGTTCCCAGGGATCTGTTTCCTTCATTCTTTTGGGTCTTGGTGCCATGCTGAGATCCACTGTCAGCCCCTCCTGATACTACAAATAGATGTGTTGCTTGATATCACATGAAATTTTCCATTTATTTTACTAAATAAAGCAGTAAGTGAATGGCCTGAATTTTTATGCAAATGTTATTTTCCACTCCCCTTGTCTTTCACTTAAGGACAAAGTCTCTGTATTTATGAGTGAGTAAGCTCAAAAAACCTCCTTTCTCTGAGTTTAACCAATGCAGTGCCTAACCAGTCAGGTTGGTTGCTAGGAATCATTCCCTATGGAAATGACCCATTGTCAGTAGATATTTCCACTAGGATAGGAGATATCTGTGAAGCTTTGGGATCAGAACAGCGCTAGGTAATCAGGTCTGAGACGGTGCAGCAAAAATGAATGAGCCTAAGATGTTGCAGTCAGAAATCTTACCCAGAAGAGGTTGTTGTTGATCAGAGCAAGGCATGCTCTCACCATCTGTACAGCCTGGGAAGAGAACTGTCTGCACCAGATGACCTCTTGAATGAGTGTGTGTACAGGGATAAAATATAAAATTATATGCCTGAATTCTGCTGGGTGCCCTTGTGGCTTTTATGCATTGAAAAAGACTAGAGAAGTACAGGATAGATTCTAAGAGCTGGAGGCTGAGCCCCAGAGAGAGGGGAAGGATCTAAGGTGTCAGAATACCTTGCTGCTTTTGCCCTGGGTATGGCCAGAGGTTGTACTGGACTGGAATGACTTGCGAATGAAGCAACTTTGTTGTTGATCTGTGTGAAGGTGTGAGCACAGGGATCAGCACCTCTGAAGTACTGAGGAGCCAGTCCCATCCTAGACCTTGTCACACTACAGCTTTGAGGATAAGAGATGTCTCACCTCCTAGTGGCTCAGAACCCAGGCAGAGCAGACTCACACCTGCCTTCCAGAATCCTTATGTCAGTGATGTGTGATGGTTTTGAACTCCTGGTTTTATGCCAGTCCTAGAATGTGCAGGGCTGTATCTCCTGCCTGACCCTGCTCACTTTCCCTCAGTTGGAAAACTGCTCCTTTTTACAGTGATAGCTTGTTCCTCCCTAGGAAGGGTTTATTCCTTTCTCTGCAGTATAGAGGTAGAGAGGGATGGTCTTCTGAGGAGACATCTGTGAGGAGTCTTTGCACCGTAGGTGTTTCCAGTGTCATGCACATTTGTCTTTGGTCTAGACTGAAGAGTGTGAGGACCCTGACCTGCTGCACAAATGCCTGAAGTCTGTGTCTCGGCCAGATGCAGAAATTGGGCACAGCTACGTGACTCTTTCTCAGTGCTGCAGGGAAAGAAAATAGGACACAAATGAAGCTCTGGTTCTGCAAACAAGCCTGGGAGTAAAAGCAGTGCCCCCAGTGACTGTGCTCACTCTGTACACAGCTAATTATAGAGATAACTTTTCAGGAGCTTCATTATGTACACTGGGGAGTTTAATTCCCTCTGCACCTGACAGAGCTCTGCATCTAACCAACAAACTTGGGAGTCACAAGCAAGTTACAGGAAAAGCCTCTTCTTCCTCCTCCAGCTGTTCTGCAGTATTTTGCAGGACTTAGAACAGACAGCCCTGGGGTGCTGCACACAGATGTGGTGGCAGTGGAGTAAGGTGGTCTACCTTAATCCCTGTGCTCAAAGGCTTCTGCAGTGCAGCTTTGGTGGGCTTAGCCACTGCGACAGGGCATTTGAGGTAGAAACCAGAGGCAGAATCATGTGCGTGGGTCAATCTCTTGTTTGTTTCAGTTTTGGGTTTTGTGCCCCTTTTTGTTATCTCTGAACTTGTGATGTATGTGGCCCAGATATTTTGAGCTGTCTGGGGAGGCTGGTTTGGTTTGCAAATGGAGGAAATGCTGGATGCAAATTGACAGAGGGCAGGATGGAGAGGTTCCCTTTCACCTCAGCACTGTGGACATACTCTGCAGCAGCATCTGAACTCAAAGGACATTCAGAATATCTAAGATGAAAGCTCAATTTGCCTAGCAGGAAAGTGAGGCTGCAGAGGCCTGTCAGAGCTGCTGTCTTTACCCCAGGGAATAGGGAATTGGGTTGTGTTGTGGAAGATGCAATTTCATATCCATTTTTGGTGAGAAAGGTTTGAAATATCTCCAGAAGCAGAAGTTTACAGATCCCTGGAAGTTCAGTAAGGGGACTAACTTTTTTTTATTTTATTCTTCTGAACCGTTGTGTATGACATTAAGCAGCAAGGTGTTGCTTAGAGGTGAACTAGCCATCATCTGCTGCAGGTTGAACCAAGACTTTTTATATGAAAATCGGTGCCTCAGCTTTGTCAGCTCACTGCACACAGAGTTATGGATGTGGCTGTGAGGGCTGCTGAGCTGCAGAGAATCTGACTGCAGAAGGACTGAACAATCTTTGCACCTACCCTGAAGAAGAGGAGCAGGCACTGCATGTGAGTCTGCCTTCTCAGCATTGCTCCTGCTCTTGGCAGTGGCTGGGAGATGCTGAGAGGTCTCTGACTGCCAGCACAAAGGAAAGAGACATCTCCCAGGCCAGGCAGCCCTGGTGCCTTATGCATGCAGAGGTCAACCACCAACACAGCAAGGCAGGACTGAACTTCTTTCTTTCTTCTGGGGATCCTGCCAACTTTGAATAAAGAATTTTTTTACTCTCTCAGACATTTCCCAGAATAGCTGTCACAGGATAAACTTTATGGTGCCTAAGTCAGATCCCATCTCATGCACAGAAGTCCAGCACTGAGCTGGGCCTGAGTTCCCAGGATGAGGAGATAGTGACAATTCAGAACAACATTTGGTAGGAACCATTGTCCTTCTTATCATAAATGGATGAAGGGCATGGCTGCCTGACACCTCTGTTCACAGAATCACAGTGGGTCTGGTGGAAGGGACCATAAGGGGTCATCTGGTCCAAGCTCCCTGCTCAAGCAGGGTCATCCCAGAGCACATGGCACAGGATTGTGTCCAGACGGTTCTTGAATACCTCCAGTGAAGGAGACTCCACAACCTCTCTGGGCAATCTGTTCCAGTGCTTGGTCACCCACACCATAAAGAAATTCTTCCTTATATTCAGACAAAACTTCCTGTGCATCACTTTCTGTCCATTCCCTCTTGTCCTGTTGCTTGCTCCACTGAGAAGAGCCTGGATCCATCCTCTTGACACACCCCCTTCAGATTACAGACATTGATGAGGTCCTCTTTCAATCATCGCTTTTGGAGACTGAAAAGGCCCTGCTCCCTCAGTTTTTCTTCATAAGAGAGATGCTCCAGTCCCCTAATCATCTTTGTTATCCTCTGCGGGACTCACTCCAGGAACTCCATGTCTCTCTTGTGCTGAGGGGCCAAGGGGAGTTCATCTGGAAGGAAGCTAAGCCAATAAATCCGGGCAGAAGTATTAGAAACAAACTCTCTCTTGCTGGTGGACAGATCACAGGACTTAATCACTCCTAGTCACCTCCACACAGGATGGCTTCCTCTCAGTACCACAAGTGGCAGCCCACGGGCTGGCAAAGAAGTGGGGACAGCTGACACAGGAGGAGGAAATATTGTCTGAAGGATACAACTGGGACAGTGGTTTGCAGGACTGTGAAAGAGTAGGGCAAGGATGAGCCAAAGGCTGTTTTGAGAGAAGGAGAGGACTGGCCCAAGGAGTGATGTGGCCAGCAACAGGTAAGGGTCAGTGAGGGAAGGTGCAGGGTGGATACCACAGAGAACTGATAATGATGGAGAAGAGAACACAGAAGTGTTTTTTTCTAAGGCTGTGAATCAAATACCTCTTTGACCCATTTTGGCTTAGTCACTAAGGAAACTTCAGAGGAACATTTTCTGTGGAAAAACCTGCAAAACCACAAGATGCACATTGAATAAAAGTGTACTTGTTCTCTCATTTGAATTTCTCCCTTCTCTGCTAAAGTACCTGCAAATCCAGACAGGCAGGCAGGCTAGTGCTGCATGATCTGCTCAAAGCAGCAATTTCGTCTGGGTTAGAAGAAAGGCCCACGGATACCTGCATCCCTGCCTGCACCAGGCCTCCCCATATGGCAGCTATGCAGAATTGCCCTCTACCAGAGCACTGCATCCTCCTTCCCACACGCTCACCAGGGCTCAAGCTGTTGGATCCTCCATAGATCACAACAGCCCTGGAGAACCCCACATCCTGTCCACATCCTGGCTGAAATGCCAGCCCCATCCAGCCTCCAGCCTAAACACATGGGCTGTGTGAGCACTCCAGGTTTTTCCCTATCCCTGTGTTATGAGTATTATATATTCTTCATGTCTCCCACCTTCCTCTGTTCCTAGGCCAGAGTCCACATTTCATCATCTTCTTAGGGATGTAATTCTATGCCACTCATGTCATGTGTTTTGTATGTCTACATCACCAGCATTATTTCTTGCCTTTTACCTAATAGATGAGGCATTGGTGGTATTGCTATCTGTAACTTTCTCAGTCCAGCTTAATACAGCACATCATTACTTTTTACATTATCTAGTTTCTTTTGTTTGTGTGGGCAGCTGCAGACAAATGTCAAATCCTTGAGTGTTCTAATCAGCTATCAGAAGGGCAGGATGGGAACTTGCAGTTTTCCTGGTTTTTTGCTCTGTTGCTGTTAATTGCTGGAAGGAATAGTATAATCACCTCAAGAAAAAAGTATTCATCTGTTTTCTTCTTCACTAAATTATAGAAGGTTGTATGCCTGAAAGATTGTGTTTTAAAATACAGAGGTGATACTTCCAATATAAATCTGTTGTGCTCAGAGTATTCTTTGGCATCTTGGAATTCAATGTGGGTGTTGATCCTGGATAAAACATGACTTCCCATTCCAATCAAGACTTTATTTCCCTTGGCCAATTTTTTCTGTTCTTTGGCTGAGAAACAGAAGAGACAGACAGTAACTTACTCCAGCCTGTTGACAAAGCCTGTAGGCGGAGCTGGAGACAGAGCCCAGATCCTCTTCATGCAGGTCTCCTGAATGTAAGCCATATGGCCACACTTTCCCTTCACCTTCCCTCTCCCTGTGACTCTCAATGGCTGTTTTCTAAAGTTG